GGTAATGACCTGTTTTCAGTCTCAATAAAATTTACTTTACTTGACTCCAAAAATCCTAAGGACCATCAGGTGTCGCCAGTTCTCCTTGTTAAGTTAAAATGAGCTTGGAAAGCCTAATTCCTAACCTGTTTTCAATCGTTCATTTAAATTACCATTACAGAAACTCCGAAAACTCTCAACATTATCAGTTGTGGTCAGTTTTCATTAATAGCGCATACCTGTCAACTTTCAGGCATTTGGCGTGAGTTTTAGTGGCATATTTACGTTCCCCTGCTGTAGTCAGCAATTATTCAATCATCACATGTAAGAGATTCTCGCGCAGAACTGATGTCCTTGTGCATGCAGGTTTATCAGTTTCATGTGTATTATGGTGGATTTCACCACTAGTAATTGGAAACCAATTATGACTCCGGACTTCTCCCGCTTTTGTTTACCCAGGGGTTGGAAGCAATGCATGTGTTTCATGATCGTTTAAATTGTTTAAATGAAATAAGATCATTGGAAGCAATGGAATTGCATAAGGACATTTCAAATGATCTTATTTCATTTAAACAATTTAAACTATAATAAAACACATGCATTGCTTCCAACCCCTAAGGAAAGAAAAGTGTGAGAAGTCCAGTCATAATCGGTTTCCAATTTCTGGGTGTTGTTGATAATGGCTTTCGTTTTGCATGGTGGAGTTTTAAATAGCACTCGCAGATGTAGCAACAAGCTGTTGCCTGACAATGGTTTTCCGAAGTGTTCCTGAGCCCACATGGTAATATTCTTTACAGAATGATGTCGGTTTTTAATGCAGTGCCGCCTGAGGGTTTTCTCAGTCACGGGCATTCAATGTTGGCTTTCGCCCTTGCCGCTTACGTGTACAGATTTCTCCGGATTCTCTGAATCTTTTGATAGTATTATGGACTGTACACCGTGTCCCAAAAGTTCATGCACCACAGAAAGTCAACTCAGATTGTGAATATTCAACAGAATGCATTTATTCAAAAGCCAGTGTATCCCCCCTGCATCTTAATTACTGCCCTCAGCCTGTGGGCCATAGAATGCACTACGTTGTTTAGAACGGAAGGCTCAAGGTTGCCCCACTCCCACACAGCCCTCGCATTGAGCTGCTTCATGGTGGCAGGGGGTGGGCTGTGGAAGACCTGACTGTTCAGGATACCCCAGGAGTTCTCAATCGGGTTGAGGTCCGGGGAGTTGTGTGGCCATTCTGCTTTGCGCAGAAAGCCAGGAAGCTGCTCAGAACACCACTGCTGAGTTGAACGAGCAGTATGTGCAGGGGCACCATCTTGCAAGAAGACCATTTCCACACGCCTGTTGAACATCTTGCTAGCAGTGATGGGGCCCGATTTCTTTTTTCTGGTGAGCATGGGAAGTAGCACTGGCTGGAGAATGTTCTTGACATAATACTCAGCATTGATGGTGGTGCCCTGGGGTACAACATGCAACTCCAACAGCCCTGAAGATGACATCGCCCCCCAGACCATGCAATAGGAGCTGAACTTGACTTGTTCGGAAGGTGGCACTTTCTTTCGATCGTCGGTGTAGATGTGGTCGTTTTGGCTGTTGGGAGTTGGAAATAAGTAGAGTGGGCACTCATCAGAGAAAACCCAGTTTTCCCAGTGTCTTGGGGTCATTGTGGCATACTTCTTTGCAAAAGCCAGCCGCTTCTCCTTTTGCAGTTTGGTAAGGCGAGGAATCCACTGTCTTCTGTGTCTTCTTTATGCTCTCAGACCCAGTTTCTCAGTCAGAGAACGCTGGATGGTACTCTTGGAGACTACTTCCCCGAGATTCTTCAGTCTTCGACTGAGTCTGTGGCAGGATTGGTATCTCTTTCCCTTAGCCTTTCGGATGAGGTCCTTGGCCCTGGAACTCAGGACTGAGGGGCGACCTGCACGGGCTCTGTCCTTCAAGGGAGTCACAACTCTGGTGTCTCTGCCACCACTTCTTCACCCATCGTATGCTTCTGCCAAGGTCCTGAGCTACCTCCCTGCAACTTTTCCCTGCCCTGCGCAAGGCAATGGCTTGAGCACGGACCTGAGGCTCTGAAAGAGCAGCCTTTCCAGGTTTTTGTTTGGCCATCGTGGCAGCACTACCAAAAAGGTTCTCTCAGTGACAGTTCTCTCTTGGTTTCTTGGTCAACCAAGAAATTTATAGGCCTCTTGCAAACAGATGAACTAATTAAACAACCTCGCAACACCTGGCTGACCAGGTGCAACCCACTTTGGAGACAGACATATTGCCCATTGGGGTGCATGAACTTTTGGGACACGGTGTAGATGATGAAATCCCTAAATTCCTTGCAATTGCACGTTGAGAAACGTTCTTAAACCATTGAACTATTTGCTCACGCAGTTGTTCACAAAGTGGTGAACCTTGCCCCATCCTTGCTTGTGAATGACTCAGCCTTTCGTGGATGCTCTTTTTATACCTTTTATAATCATGACACTCACCTGTTTCCAATTAACCTGTTCACCTGTGTGATGTTCCAAACAGGTGTTTTTTGAGCATTCCTCAACTTTCTCAGTCTTTTGTTGCCTCTGTCCCAGGTTTTTTGAACGTATTGCAGGCATCAAATTCAAAATGAATAAATTTTTCCAAAAAACAATTAAGTTTATCAGTTTGAACATTAAATATCTTGTCTTTGTAGTGTACTCAATTGAATATAGGTTGAAAAGGATTTGCAAATCATTGTATGTATTTGTTTTTATTCACGTTTTACACAAGGTTCCAACTTCATTGGAGTTGCCGTTTGTAGAATGATATGGGCCCTTTCGGTAAAAGGGCATAATAAAGCGAGATTGGGAGAGTGCATGAGCAGTGGACATTGTGTATGGCAGAAGGAAAAACTGGAGACCGTTTCCAAGCCTGCTGTCAGCAAGAGAAGAGCAATCTCTCGACTCAAGCTTCATGAATTGAAACAGATATGCAAAGATTTGGATGTACCGCACTAAAAGCTCAAAAAGGGAGAATTAGTTGAAGCAATTATGAGAAAATGTCTGCTGTCAGAACAAATATTTGCACATGACAAGCTAACCATCCCCGCTTACTGCCCACTCTTTCTCAACAACCACTTATAACGTCCAAAAACTAGGTTGAGAAGGTTTTCATTTTGGCTGTTTCAGCTCAGATTTCTTGCAATAATCATTTGGTTTCTTTGTGATTTTAATTACATAATTACTTGTAATATATAACCAACAGAGTTGAATTTGCTTGCTAGCTGGTTTTGCAGATGCGAGTTAATGTCGTTAACACCATGATAATTGGATCCCACACCATGAGTCAGCTAATGGCTTTGTTGTATCTGAAACGGCTAGCATACATGATCCTAACCTCTTCTCAATATGGATAAGTGTGGAGGTACACGTGTAATACAAGGCCTAGTTAGACATACCGAAACAACAACATCATCACTACTTGACTGAACGCAACAGATTTGATTTCGGGGAAAGAATTCAGCATACAACCTCCCCTTTTTTTGGCTTTTTATTTGCCAGAATTCAACACCATCTTGTGCAACTAGCCAACGGGCCATATTGAACGATCATTTGTCATCAAATAATGGACTGGGACAATCACACTGTCCAACACAATAACAGCTCATACCTCTGGGCGAAGGGCGACATTTCGTCATTATCACGCGACCGTTGTAGCAGACAACAGCTAATTAGGGGGAATAAAACCTCATTTATCTAGTCTTTGAAAATGAAAATTCCACATTTTTGTATTTTACAACATTTATTTACCAATGATGTTTGTATAAAACAGCATTATGCATTATCCTTGAGTTCCCCTTTAAACTATAAATTTTCTTGACTGGATGTGTGCTTGACGTTTTTACACACCTGAATCTTTCTCTGGGTACCCACACAAGGTAAGCCAAAAAAGTACTGATTTCATTTGATACTAGTGGAGGTTGAATACGGAGTTCTTTCCTCATCAGAGTCTACAAAATTAGGCCTCCCAGACTCAAAATGTATACTGCACACCCTAGAATGTTCCTTATGAACAAAAATTCTTCAGTTTCTAGCCTGAATCCACACTGTTCACTGACTTTTACACTGGGGAAAGCGAAAGAACTTAAAATGCAAAATCATTAAATTTTCTTAAATAAAATCTTATATGGTAAACATTTGACCAAACAGTTCATGAAAAGTATCCTGCTAATTCAATGCCCAAAATTGCCGCTCTTTCTCAAAAATGAGCCTTTTATTGATGTCAGAGTGAGACCCAGCTAACAATGGGACTTGGCCCAACATCGGCTATGGTCAGTACGGTCTCAGTTGCTGAGCCGACGTTGGCGTGACGTTGGATTAACGTTGGACGATGGTCATAATTTTTGCCCTGGATATTATTTGGTGAAATGAATTTGGCCCAACGCTGGCCTGTGATCATAAATTTTGTCAAGGATATAGGTTGGCGGGACGAAGTTGACCCAACATTGGCCTATAAACATAAATTTTGTCATGGATATTGGCTGGCGATACGACGTTGACCCATCGTTGGCCCATGAACATATATTTTGTCATGGATGTTGGTTTGCCATACGACGTTGACACAACGTTGGCCTATAGGCTATGGTCATAAATTAAATTTTTTGTCATTGATCTATAGGCAGTAAGACATTCATTGACCCAACGAAGGCCTTTAGGCTATGGTCATAGTTTTTGGCGTGGATATCGGTTGGCGATAAGATGTTAACCCAACGCTGGCCAATGGTCATAAAAGCTGTAAAACTTTTGGGGTGCCCGTTTTCATCTGCTAAGTTATGCAAGATCCTCAATTTGATGCTGTCTTACGCAGACTTGTGCATAAAAGCTGATCAACTGGTTTTCAGTAAGCTTCCACGAGAACACAAACTTTCCGCAGCAAGTTAACGTATGGCATTACATTACCTTACTTGCTTAACCTTACTGCATAGTGGATCTGCTCTGTTAGCTTAGAAGTGGTACACATCACCCCCCATACGCCGTATGCCTTGCGGCCCAGTGGTGCGGGCAGCACAGTGGTGCAGTAGTTAGCACTGTCGCCTCACAGCAAGAAGGTCGTGGGTTCGATCCCGGCCTGGGGCCTTTCTGTGTGGAGTTTGCATGTTCTCCCCGTGTTCACATGGGTTTCCTCCGGGTGCTCCGGTTTCCCCCACCCACAAAAACATGCATCATAAGAACACTCCTACTGGTGCCCCTGACCAAGGTACTGGCTTTAGAACTGGAGTTGGTCCCCAGGCACTGCTCTGTGGCTGCTCACTGCTCCTAACTATAGGATGGGTTAAATGCAGACGACAAATTACCCCACGGGGTTCAAATAAGTATATCTTATTATTCTTCTTCTTCTTCATCATCTTCTTCTTCATCTTGCCTTGAACTCACAGCCACGGTTTTGTCAGAACATCAGATCCAGTGATCAGTTTAAGGCATTTTTTGCCAATCATAATATCAATTGATTAGCAATTGTTTAGAACATCTGAAATATGATTAGCAAAAATTAGAAAACAGTGAATCAGATTTTAAATGATAAAAGGCTTTTTTTAATTTTATCCTTAAAACAATTCCAATTACAAGAGACATACAACTCAACTCTGAAATAGACCTTTCACAAAGCAAAAAACAAATTATTTCCGAAAGGCATCAATTTTACCCTGAACAATCTTACTTAGTTCACCCCACGGAGTGGGCGTGAAGTACTGTTTTTAGCGGTTCTGTGTGTTTGTTTGTTTGTCTGTTTGTGTTCCGCACTTGCCAATATTTGCGTGAATGGGTGAAGTCTGCCATCTAGTGGCTCTGCGTTTTTTTTTGTGTTTCGGCACTTGCCAATATTTGCGTGAATGGGGTGAAGTCTGCCATCTCTGATTGCCTTGTTTGATACAGAACACTCCAAGTGAAATTTCTGTAAATTACTTGTAACTTACAGTACAGCTGTCTTGTCTATACCTTACTGTAACATATGTTGCTGTTTAACACCTGATCAGGATATGATAGGATTCTGCTTAACAAAGAGAAGGAGAATCCATTCCCATTTAAATCCAGTTACTTAAAGGGGAACTCAGGGCTAAATCAAAATGCTGTTTTATACAAGCATAATTAGTAAATAAATATTGTAAAATACAAAAATGTGGAATTTTTGTTTTCAAAGACGAGATAAATGAGGTTTTATTCTCCCTAATTGTTTGTCGTATGCTTCAACAGTCGTGTGATGTTATGACTGTTATGATCCAAAGAATGAACCAGATGCAGATTCAGTGTAAAATCCACAAGGGAGTATTTTTTAAAGGGGACCTATTATGCTGATTGTTCTTTTAATACATATTAGTAATGTTATAATGTTGGATGTCCATACTCAACCTCTGAAAAGTTTCTAAAAAGATTTCTAAACATTTAAGATCTCTCTCTGAACAGGGGTTCGAGATCTGGCAAAACCCATAATCCAAGCCAAACGGCGCTGGATTTCGAAATGAGCAGACACAATTCGCGGATCATACTATGCCTTAGTAGAACATTAAAAAACAAAAGAAGTCAGATCATTTGAGGTGCAGTTTTGATCTTCTGCTTGTCCATTTACTTTTGGACGCAAAGAAAAGCACCCATTTCTCTTCCAAAAACCACCAGAAATCAGTGGGTCTTTTTTTTGGTTTGCTGGCAGCAAAAATATCTGAAAATAAATTTCACCAAAGGAGCTTTGTCAATAAAGGATAATTTGACGCTGGATAAGCTGCTTTCAGCTGTTTCTCAAACCTGTCCAGTTGCATCGACTCACAGCCACAAACCAGAAGCTGTAACAGCAAATAGTTGCTTTACAGGCATAGGACCGCTTAACGATGTTACGTGATACTGGCCAAAGTTGATTGTGGATGTAGCACTGCGACTGTCCGCGGAACAGATGCAGAAGCTGCCAAGTTACATGTGGCTAATGTTTGTGGCTGTAGTCCTACATATGCAGTTAGAGTAATATCAGGGGAAATTCAACAGAAGGTGTGTGAACATAAACCTCATTTGAAGCTAACTTTTTATACTTGTTTGTAATTTGGATGCTTGGTACAATTGTCCACGGTACCGGAACTTGCTGTCTGCAAAACCTGTATTGCAAGGGTATGTCTGTATTGCAAGGGTATGTCTCTGTGTTTGTTATGCCCGCTCAGTTACCAGCTACTGCATGTTAGTTTGCATGCAGCACTACTTAAAATGCTCCTGGTTAACTTATATGCAGTAATTCTGATCGGGTAATGCTTGTGTAACTTCGGTAATCATCAAGGTGGCAGGTTCATCATAATGTTGCCCAATTGTGGCCACTACAGTTGAAGCTAACCGGACAGGTGCTGTATGTGTCTGCAAAGTTGGGCTGAAAAGGCTGCAGTTAGACCAGACGTAAGTTTGCTGCTTGTGATCGCTTCACTTATCCATGACTGAGGTCAGCTGGATACTTCGTCAATATCTGGGCTAGCTCTCTGATACCACCGTGGTGAAAGCAATGCGAAACGGACAAGCTCTAACGTGCCTGGTATAACAAACTATTTCTCTTGTGGCGTAATTTCATCCCCCTTTAGAAATTGTTCTGGCTAATAAAAACCCGAAAAAGGCAGAGATTGAATAGGAAATTCTTTCCTGTAGAAGTGATTGATTCGCTAGCTCCACATAAGCAACTGTCCACGCTTATGGAACATAGTGTCAGTAAAACCAGTATTATGTTCATAACATAGCTGTCGAAGCTCATCCTATAGCTGTCGACGCGAAACAAATTTTTACCATCCATTCAAAGTCAATGCAAAGTTTTCACACGGACGCCAAACTAATTTTTCACACCGGACGCGAAAACAAACAGATTACATTCAAAGTCAATGCAAAGACACGAATACCGCAGCGTTATGGGCCACACCAGACGCGAAAACTAAGCAGATTACATTTAAAGTTTCACACCAGACCAGAAAACTAATTTTTTCGATTACATTTAAAAGTCAATGCAAAGACAGATTACATTCAAAGTCAATGCAAAGACGCGAATACACGCGTTATGGGCGCGTCAAGCAGCTTTCACACCAGACACGAAAGTAATTTTTCGAGCGACAGATTACATTCAAAGTCAATGCAAAGCCGCGAATACACGCGTTATGGGTGCGTCAAGCAGCTTTCACACCAGACGCGAAACTAATTTTTCGAGCGACAGATTACATTCAAAGTCAATGCAAAGACGTGAATACACGCAGCTTTCACACCAGACACGAAGTAATTTTTTCGGCGACAGTTATGTGCGTCAAGCGAAACTAATTTTTCACGCGTGACAGATTACCAAAGACACGCAAAAGTAATTTTTGGGCAGGGCGTCAAGAGCTTTCACGACAGATTACATTCAAAGTCAATGCAAAGCCGCGAATACACTGGAATGCAATGCACAATGCATTGACTTTGAATGTAATCTGTAGCATGAAAAATTCATTTCGCGTCCGGTGTGAAAGCGGCTTATCGTGCCAATTTTCCGCGAGCAAACGCTGGTCATTCCGACGCAATAAGTAAACCATTACCATGGGCAATTTCCGAAAAGACCGTTTAGCCTGGAGCTTTCGCCCCTCCATCATATACCAGTGCAGAAGCTGTTCATTACTCCACGCTAACGACACGCCACAGTTATGCACACGAACCAGCAGGTCCTTATAATACACACCGAAGCAGTCGATAAGTTGTTGGTCTACTTTTTGCTGCTCCTCACTGTCCATGTTTCCCTCAAAACTCAAACCCACCGGATTTCTACGGTCTCCGGTCTACACTTGGGTATGTCGACCCGTTCTACAAATGTGTCTGTATGGGGTGGATTCTAGCTTTCCCTCGAGGTGGGGCCTATTGACCCGGACGCCGGCTGTATTATTCTAGCTTTTCCTGTTATTGACCCGGACGTAACTTCTAATTTAGGACAAGCGCCCCTACTTCGTCCGGCTCAATAACTGGACATTTGAGACAATTGAACCGGACGCCGGCTATATTACTCAGCCTGTACCTGTTATTGACCCGGATCGTAACTTGTCATTTAGGACGAGCGCCCCCACTTCGTCCAGCTCCATAGCTGGAAATTTGAGACAATTGACCCGGACGCCAGCTCTACTATTGGAGCTTCTCCTGTTATTGATCCGGACGAAACTTCGAATTTAGAACCTCGTCCGGCTCCATAGCTGAAGATTTGAGACAATTGACCCGGACGCCGGTTCTATTATCGAATTTCTCATGTTATTGGCCTGGACGCAACTTCTAAGTTCAAACGATGCCATAAGTAGTGAGACTTGAGGCAATTGACCCGGAAGACGTTTTTATGGGTTAAAGGCTCTCCTCTCTCGCCCTGATATCGGGTTCATAAGTTCGAACATGTTCCAAGTTACATAGGCTTATACGGTATTTATTGTTCAGTCAGTGTCAATGAACCAATAGCGCATTTCTTCGGCCGGAGGAAGTAATTATGTTGTGTACGAGAGGTTTAATTACTAATTACAGAGCCAAATACGGCATCCTAGGTTGGTTGTTTTTTAAGCGTGCAATTGACTTTACAGTTTCAGGTATAATTAGCGCCGTCCAAGGTCTTTTTCCAAGTTGTGGATCGCTGGCTTGTTTTCCACACTCCATATCGCTGAGCACCAAGCACGATGACAGTATGACCCGTGGCCAGGAGTCGAACCCAGGCCTGACCTCCCGCCTGCAAAACATCTCCCATTCGATTAACATAAAGGGCTCTAATTTCTTGGCGCAGCGCAGGGTGGCGCAGCGTGGCGTAGCCCAGGCAGTGGTTATTTCGTCCGGTGCAGTCCGCGCAGTGGTAATTTCGTGCGGTGCAACACCATGCGCAGCCACTTTGGCAATTTGGTATACGGACGTGCGCCGAGATGGGTGTGGCGGCGTAATAGGGGGAGGTGTCACACATTCATCATGACGCAGTGACAATTTCGTGGATCAAGGCTCCGCCGAAATTGCGCAGAGAGCTCGCCAGCTCCAACCTGCTTTACTTTCTGTGCAGTGGTAATTTGGCTGACCGGCGCACAGTGCGCACACATCACCGAAACCTCACAGGCAGGTTTCCAAAATGTCAGGCACATTTCAAT